TATCGCTTAACTCGATTTGTTTACATTTATTACTTAGGACCTTTTGAAAAGTGACGCGAGAAGTCACTAAAAAGTGACTCGCTACCAGCCCTGTAATAGTAGCTCAGCATTACTCAACCATCACGACAAAACGATCATTTTCAGGACCACCATAAATTTGTTAAAGAGTATTTTCTGGACATTTCTCAAGCTCTTTAATCGGATGTCAGTTCCCATAAGTTTCAATCTAACATACCACGTATTTTTAAGACCCCTCCCCTTGGCTAGTTTTTAACCTGGACGTTGGTGGGCGGGCCTAATCTTATGCTTCATAGTGGAGCGTTGAAGACGGTTGCTTTAGGTCCGGCATCGTTGGCTCATGCCGTGACAGAATAGCGTCATGAGCATGCGATGAGGATCACTGAGCTTCCCCTCTCTCATGAACCATTGCATAAGAGAACCAAAGTTCTAGCCTGAAGTGATAGTATCACACTTGTTACTCCTTTATTTGAAAGCCGCGTTGTAGTACGCTAACGTATAGGCACTGACGTTGGGTGCGATACTGGCGGGTTTTGCCGCAGATCACTCTTATTTTATTTATTTTTACGCAGATAGATTTATTTGGGTTTGCAAGGGAATTATACTATTGAAATATTTCAGAAAGTGCCCAACAGTGCTCCTTCTACTTGCGTGACAAGCTTTCGTTGTAGTTTTCATTGAGGTGGTATTACTCAGGGAACAATATTAAACACCACCATGGTATTGTAACTAATCTTACATATGCTTCATTTTGGTTTGGGATAAATGTTTGAACTATGGCTCGGGATTTCCACGGTGGCGTGCTTCTATTGTGACATATCCATACGTAATTTTGTGGGACGACATAGTGGAAACGTGTAAGTGTATTTGGAGCATATACCTTATATAATTTTAAAATCAGCTAGGAAACTAATTTCAAAGTGAAGCATTTTAGTCACTTGAAGGTGTCACCTGGGTCGATCTAAGATATAATAAATCTAAATCAAAGTCAAAGTCAAAATTATTTGGAACACGTTAAATTTTAGATTACATAGCATTTTAGGTACTTAATGAAACGTTGGAGGCGAACCAGCCCCAGGCTAAAAGCCTCCCTAATAAAGATAAATAAATTAATTAATTACTTAATAAAGTACGAGTTATGATTGATTAGGTAAATTAGAGATTTCAATTATTTATTCAATTAGACTAATGAGATATCATAATTATCAAAAGAACTTAAATAAGAAAATTAAGACGCCTAATAACATTAAGTAGATTAACAAAAGAGTTAGGATGCGGGAGGTCCGCTTAGGGAGGCAACTAGCCTTTTCATATATTGTCTGTTTATTTTGATGGTTGCTTTAAAATATCAATTTGGTATATATGTGAAAGGATAAATCAGTGGGAGATGGATTTTCGGTTTCTTTACATTTTGCAACACAAGTCTAATACTATGTGTCATTTCCTCAAAACCCCCCAATAACCGACCTCTTCAATCCCTTCCTTTTCCCATGGCGTTCAAGTGGTCCGCATAGAGTATTCAGCCATTACCCTTCCTTTATCTTCGGCTTTGGATTGACTTGCGCTCCCATTGCCCCACCAAACGCTGCAAAATGAAAATGAAAAATGAAAATGAAACATACCATGTATTTTTAAGACAACATTGGAAGTCAAATTACAAAAACCAAAGTTGGTCGCGGCATGAAAGTGGTTTGATTTTGATCCAGAGATGATGGATTTTAATTCGTAAACGCCAATTGTTTGGAAATTGTTCTACGAATGAGAATAAGACTATCAATTTACAAAAGGTCACTATTCAAAATTGTAGGAATGTGCAACTGTTGCGATGGTGATCATGGTGCGGAGATGACGTCAAATGGTTATCATCAGTGTTGGCAAAATCAGAAATCAATTGAAATTTTTCCGCTCTCATGCGCTCGCAATATCACGCGTGATATTGGAACAAAATATCATGCTTTATATTGATTTTACATCTCCTTTGATATTGCGAGACTATTCACAATGTGCAAAAATCAAGCTGAGAGTTGACTCGACACAAAAATGATTTCATCGCACATCATTTTTTTTTTTAGAAAGAGAAAGCATAGTTTGCCATCTCTTTTCAATCTTCACCGATGGCAGATGCGAAGGGACTGCTGCAAGCCGTTATGGAAGTTTCGGTTGCATTCGGGTGTACAGCAAAAATGATTGAGTTTAAATCTCACCACAGTTTGGTGAGATTTGCAGTTGGTGAGTTTTGTTAGCTTGAAATTACGAGCTGCGATATCACACCTTGCAAAATCAATCGCAGTAGTTTGCTTGTTGATTTTCATCTACAAAAATCAAGCGTGATCTTGGGCGTTGGTGAGATTTGATTGTTTGATATTTTCCCAACAATGGTTATCATCAAGGTTTAATTGATGCACAAGCTACCAAGGATATTTCATCCATCAAGAAAGGCCAGCCACCACCAACCAAAAGATCATCAAAGCGCCAAAAGATCAACAGTAATGTGGAGGTTTCATTATGCGATCGATGTGCATTGGCGTAGCTAATAGAGGTACCAGGGGAGCCAGGCCCCCTCCAGAATTATCTAGCCCCCCTCAAGAATTATCTAGGCCCCCTCCATATAAATTGTCTAGCTAATAAACCAATGTCGATGTGGCGTTTGTTTCTCGAGTTCTGCAAACGGAAAAGGATGGACAACTTGTTCTTCATGTAAGAAATGGATCCACACAGAATACTACACAGATTTCAACGTTGTTTGTATGTTTTGTTCTCTTCTTCTTCTTCATCGCATTTCAAGCTTATTGCATATCGCATATTAGCTTATTGCGTGCTCTCAACTTAGTGTTCTAGATGCACTTCCACAGTTATTAATTGAGAGCTTTCGATGGCTGTACCATTTTTGCATCCCCAGGGAAGTCCCCATTACTTCTATCCCCAGGGAAGTCGAGACATTTTCCAACCCGAAAAATTCCTAGACCGGACCGGGAATCTAACCCATCCACCTCCAGCATGGTCTTGCTTTGTAGCTGCGCCTTTACCGACTGAGCTAAGGGAGGCCCCAATGTTTTGTTCTCAATAAGTATTTTATAGTACTTGAGCCTTTTGGTATCATTATCATTAAAATCATGTTAAGACAGAATTATTTGTTTTTTTCCTTGATTTGTTTTCCGTCGATCTTGTTTTCCGTGCGGAGCACCAATGCTACCGACGCCAGGGAGGCAGATCCCACACCTGGACCCTACCTATCGACCCAGCATCAACTCATGAACCGGGGATCAACGGCTTTACTTACCTTCCGAAGGTGATGATCAGAGATGTTATGCCTCAGAGCATCCCGGCGGCGGATATATCTCCGGAACCACCGGAGAACATCCCGACGGCATATCTCCGGAACCACCGTTATACCCATCCCCTACTTCGCTAACATATGAAACAACATTTTGTTCAATATTTAAAGTACCGTCTTCTGATAGGGAAAACAACTGCCTGTTGCGTCAGTTCGCATCGTGCTCTCTTGCCATGCGGAACTATTTGCTTTTTGCTGAAGGAAGTGTTACTGCTACATAAATCTACAACAAATTTAAACAGCACTTTTCAGTGCTCAGTATATCTGTAAATTTTCTACCTTATTTGGCTCTTATTCCTCTTCAATCTTTGTTTGGACCCTACCCGAGGTAATCCTGCTTGGATATCGATTTGGAAAATTCCTCTTCGATCCTTCAGATTCTTATAGTAATCTGCTTGGAAGTCGATTTGGATAAAAGTTTTACTGCTGCACCATGGTGCCTAAGCGCAAAAGAAAAGGACAATCTCTTGATCCTCCTTCTAATGAAATTAATTTGAGCAATCAATTTGATTTGCTCACGGATGATGAGAATAATCCATCATCCAGCAAAAATTCTGGTAAACTTTCCCAACTTAATGCCAAGAAGGAAAAGATTCCCCCTGGCATTCATGGCAGTAACCGGAAGAGAGGTAGCGGCCGTCCAACGAAGATAATTAATAGGAAGACGCTCCGCTCACTGCACAACTTGTTCAACAACAAAGATTCGGTAAGTCAATGGGAAGCTGCCAGAAAGTTCCGTTATTTGAAGTCACACATCTGCAAGACTCTAAGGAAGGAGGGAATAGTGTGTGGAAATATAACTAGATCCCCAGAGTACACTGACGAGCAAATCCAAACCGTAAGATTGCAATGACGCTGTATGATCCGGAATTACAGCGGAAAGCCAACATATACCATATGTGCCAAAAGACCGGAATCCGACAAATCTGCCGCATTGCCGTCCTATCTTGGATGTTTTCAGTCTATTGAGATCCATAGTATACAAGGATAATTGGAAGGCCAAGGACACCAAGCAACTCACCAACAGGATCAAAAGATGCATCCAGAAAATCGATGTGGCAGCCGTCTAATGGTCATGTTCCAATATGATGACTTAGCTGCGCCACACGACGAACCACGGACCGTATGCCAATATTCACTAATCTCAGTTTGAAGACTTAAGTTCATTCTTTTTACACTGAGCAACAAAGAGTAAGAATTTCATAAGAACTACTTTTGAATTTTAGCCATAAGAAATTGATATGGATTTAATTGATTTGTCTTATGACAACAAAACATAAAATAATAAAACGGAGCAGCCTGGAACAGAAACATGGACGTTCAGATTTTGAGGTTCGTGTGTTGACTGCTCGTCTTTCAACGCTTGGGAAAATGAAATGGTTAATGGCGTATAAGAGCTACCTCATGTTAGACGAAAATCATGCATAATTTTCGCTTAAGAAATTCATTTGTGTCGTGCATAAGTCGAGCCTTATGAAATTCTTAAGATAATTTGCCTCACTGTTTTCCCGACCCATTATTTTCATTCATTTTTTTAGAGGACACCCGTTATATAAAGATTGTAAACAACAACATCTGATCTTCTTAACTCTAAAATCTGTTGATCAAAGTGAACCTATAGAATGACACTAGGTTTAGCTCTTGTTACTCACCTCCTGAAATCTCTACTCCAACACGCGTAGATCACCGGATTCATACTGGAATTGATCCACCCTAGCCACGTGACCACGGCGGATACGATCTCTTCGTGCGCTATGCAATGCATACAGAATCCAGAGAGCAGATTCACCACAAAAAATGGAAGCCAACAAACTATGAATACACCCATCACGATTCCCAGCGTTTTGGCAGCCTTCTTCTCCTTAGCAAACTTGGCCAGTTTTCGCGATAGGGAAAAGTTCTTGCCCATGTGCGTCCGGTGACGACCTCCGAGGCCGTTGTTTTGCAGTGCGGAAAGTGGTTCTTCGTCCGGTTCTTCCGGAGTCGAATTAGCCGTGTGCTGTTGGTGGTCCTGGTGCTGCTGTTGCTGTTGGTGATTGGGCCTTTCCCGAGTGGTTCCTCCTCGATGTATTCGGAGTGTCAGTTGAAGCTCCCCGGATGCCATCAGAACCTGTTTAGTACCCAGCTTGAGCGAGCGAGTTTGTATGGCTGCCGCTCGGTATATTCTACAGTACGTGAACACCATTACCAACAGTGGAAGATAGAACGATATGGTGGAAGAGAATACCAAATATCCCAGATGTTCCGTGAATGTGCACTTGTATGCTGGCATATCGTCCTCTCGAGCAGCTCGCCACCAGACGATCGCAGGGAAGCTGATCGCACTTGAGCATATCCACACAGCTGCTATCAGGGCAGCTGCCTTCTTTCGAGTCATCTTCATCGGGTAGGAAAATGGATCCGTAATGGCCCAGTACCGATCAAGAGATATCACACATAGGTTCAGTATGGAAGCAGTACTAAATAATACATCTAACGAGCGCCATATATCACACCAATCTTCTCCGAAGAACCATGTATTCTGGAGAACCTCGTACAGAGCGGAGAACGGCATCACGACCAATCCGACGAGGCAGTCCGCTACGGCCAGACTAGTCACGAAGTAGTTGGTCGCCGTATGCAGATATCGTTCCCGGATAACTGCCAGAATGACCAGCGAGTTACCGAAGACAGTGGCAAAGGAAAACAGGAACAAAAATGCTAACAATCCGACCCTGTCGTTGGGCAGGGCCTCCAGGTACTCTGAAAAGTTCGGCTCAGTGGTACAGCAGTTAACCGCATCCAGTGTCACCGATGTTTCTCCAGCATTTGATACATTGTAGTAGCTCAGGTTGCTAAGCCTTATCAGTTGCGAAAGTTCCCAGTAGAAATCAGTTGCATTATTCATTATCGTTTGCTCTAGGCTTGAGCTGGAATTAGTGATTTGTGCTTGTCACTATTATTGCTCTGTTGCTGCTGTGACCATTGCTCGTAATCAGTTCTCGGAAGCTGCAATTCGATTACACTGGTTAACACCGATACTTGGATGGTACCGGTCATTACCAGTTTACGCTAATTCGAGTCTCGGAAGTAGATGCATTCTCAAATTGAACCAGACAGGATTTTGAAAGAACATTCAGCAGGGCTCGATTTAGCGCAAACTATTTGGGTGATTCTCGAAATGGTTTCGCTAACCTGTGTTCCTATCGCTAGGAGTTAAACATAAATTTGTATTCATGGAATCATCGTTTGTTCTGCATCATCCGTGTTAATTTTGCAGCAATTACATTTAATTAGTTTCGCCATTAGTCGTTCCTTTTGCCGCCGATGATCCGGGTGAAGTGCCGGGAGAGTGGCGTTCAAGAGGGTAGCGTCGCTGGCAATATCGGTGGCCGCTGTTTGAAGTACCGTTGTCTACTGCACAAATTTCACGAGCCATTTGGCGATCGAATAAATCACTATTATGATAATAATACTAGGTTGATGATAGCGCAGCATTTTTTTCGATTCTATTTTGAGCGGTATACCCTCCAACATTCTGGCTTAACGTTCGTTCTCTGTGGGGAAATTATGCTGCTGGATTTTTTTCCGTTCGTTCGGTGGTTGTCCAATCTGGAATGAAAAATTAAAACGGAAAATAGATGAATAAAGCTTCCGAAAGGCGAGGGTCCATGGGGAGCAAGAAGGGCAAACTGTAAACGATAGTGAGCGGGCTTTTGCGGAGCATCGTTTATGATTTGATTTTCATCATTTTACTGCCGCCAGAAAAGAACGTCATTAAATTCTAGCACCTTCAGCAGATCGTTTCTAGGGGTCGAGCAGGGTAGAAAGAGGCGAAGATGTTCTTTTGTTCGTGATAAGCAGGTGTTTGCTTGCCGGAAAATGGGTGTTTGAAGGTGCGAAAAAGTGTCATAATTGCAAGACGGAATACAGGGTTTTTTTTTCCTTGATTTGTTTTTCGTCGATCTTGTTTTCCGTCCTGATCACCAATGCTACCGACGCCAGGGAGGCAGTTCCCACACCTGGACCCTACCTTTTGACCCATCAACTCATGAACCGGGGACAAACGGCTTTACTTCCCTTAATCACACATACCACTACACCACCGGCGCCGCTTATGTGCAGGGTTGAGAAGTTCTATTTAATTTCTTCACACTGAGCAAATATATCTAAACTTTTATATATTTGTCTTGTGCATTCTAAGCATCTACTTTCTCAAGAGAATTTTTTATATAGACCTAACAGATTCTATGAAAAATATGTTCGAGGTACCGTAAAACGGTGTATCTTTGATAATGCGGGTAACTTTGATGGTAGGTTATAATGATTTTATGTACTCTCTGAACTATTTCCGAATTGAAAACATCGGTTCCTTACTATAACTTAGGGTATTTCCCTTGATATCGTATTTAGTTTTTATGTACAGGTAGGACACGATTATCCGGAGTATCGTTTTTTTTTCACTCCGGATAATCAAATCCTCCGGATAATCGATTCACAAAAAAAAAAATCAAATCTGCTATTAAAGAACGTATTTTTTTTTTGTTATTTTATTTGGCGTAGCCAGAAATTATTTTTAGGGAAGCAAAAAATAATTTAGCCAATTGGGTTGTTTAACTTCGAAAAATATACCGATTTTTATACATCATCTGATAGAGCTTCGTTTTTTGAGCACAATGATATGTGTATCGATCCCGCAGACATTCATCTCGATTTCTAAATCAAGATTTAAATTTTTGATCGTTGACACTAAATCTATTCGTTCCTTTCCTTTGGTTTGTTTTTTCCGTCGATCTTGTTTTCCGTGCTGAGCACCAATGCTACCGACGTGACAGGAAGGCAGCTCCCACACTTGGACCCCACCTATCGACCCATCAACTCATGAACCGGGGACCAACGGCTTTACTTCCCATCCGAAGGAAGGCGTGATCAGAGATGTTATGCCTCAGAACATCCCGGCAGCGCCGACTGGGATTGAACCCAGGCCTGTTGTGGTGAGAGGTAATCACGCTTACCACTACACCACCGGCGCCGTTGAAATCTATTCGTTGACAGCTCGCTCCCATACAAAGTCCCACCAAGGGGCGCTAAGATGGTGATTTTTGCTAATGTAATCGTACTTATTTAAAACAGTTCCAGTGTACCAATTTTGAAGAAATTTTGGATTTCGGTTCAATTTTTAATGCAGATACCGAATTTGTATTTACCTGAATACCCCTAAACAACCCGCCTGCCCGCATAGAAAATAACCATTTCTAGTACAGTTCAACCTTTACCTACACTTTAAAATTATACAAAACGGTTCTGCTACTGTTTATGGAATGTAATGAACATCAAACAACATTATTTTCTAATGTTACAGTTACTAGTATGCTCCAGAAGCATTTTGTTATGGTCCATTAATCATATTGAATTGTTTTAAAACGTTTCGAGGAAAAGCAACACAATACATTTTTTGTTTACCTTTTTCAAGTCGATAAAGTAGAAAAAGTAACGCTTCATGCGTTACATCTGTCATTTGACGGATAAATTCCCCATTTTTTTCCCATTTCATTCTGTGCAATTTGTTCTTGGTGCCATGTAGTGGTACCGTTCCGATTCAAATTTCGGACGATTGAAATTTCGGACACTTTCATTTTTAATTAAATATTACATCCAGTTAGAAACAAAGTAATAATGTTAGATGATCGTGGAGGGCACTAGTCAAAAAAATTTAAAATTTACAAGACATGTGGATCATATTCGACCGAGATAATCAACTTTTAAAAGTGTCCGAAATTCGAGTCTAAGTGTCCGAAATTTGAATCGGCACGGTATTTCTGTCTGTTGTCTGTTGTTTTCGGACAATTCAAATTCTAAAAAATGGTGAAAGTTGCAATGAAAGGAAAGAGGAGCAGAATTGTCCTGACGTTTGCTACAAAAGCAAAAAGTTGGAAGGGTTGTATACTAAATACGACCGCAGGGTTGGCGTTGGATAACGTCTGTTATGTGTTGTACTTAATTGTGTATATTATATTTTAGGAATATTCCTTAATAACTCTTTTGCGAAAGTTTGGTGGCCCTGAAAAGGGCCGTTTTGTTGGGCTGATGTTGTAAACATGGCCGACGAGCACAAGAACGTGTATCTGACCAAGCATCCTGCTAGCGTTATGGTGTTTGGATTAGTGGCTTCCGATGGCAAAAAAATGGACCCGGTGTTCATTCCAGAAGGCGACAAGGTCAACACGGAGGTCTACATCGGGATTAAAGTAAGTATGTTCTTCCGTGGATCAAAGAACAGTACGGTTTCGAAGCCAAATGTTGTATTTCAACAAGATGGGGCTCTGTGCCACACTTCGAACCGCACTCAGAAGTGGTTGCATGAACATCTTCCGTTCTGGGCGAAAGATATGTGGCCGCCATCCAGCCCCTATCTTAATCCGCTGGATTACTCAATATGGCGCGTCATGAAGGCCATGGCCTCTTCTAAACGCCACCCGAGTACAGCAAGCCTCAGACAAACATTGACCCGTACCTGGAGAGAAATGGATCCAGACTACATTATTAGAACCTGCCGTGCATTCCGGAAGCGTGTGGAGGCCGTAATTGCAGCAAGTGGAAACTCGATTTATGATTAACATAGTTTAAGACTCTGAGAAACATTCTTCTTCTTCTTCGTCTTCGCCGGGAAAGGTTCTTATGATGGTTTGAGACCCCTCCTCCCTCTGTAAGGGGGGGGGGGGGGCTCCCATAAAAATGGAACAGAAATTTCTGCATTAGTTGAAAACTAATCAAGCAAATGGAACCAAATTTGGCATGTGGAGATGGCCATAGGGGGTGCCCCTTAGATAAAAGGATGGGCGGGGCTACGTAGAATATAGCATGCTTTTTTAGTCGGCGCATAAACTCAAGCTAATACTGAATCCCGAGCAAGGCCGGGCACACTCAGCTAGTTCCAAATAAAATTACATTTTCAGATTTCTTCTTCTAGAGCCGAAAACTAGTAAATGGCGAAGTTGGCTGATTTGTCTTACATCGTAAAATAACAATGAATTCTTTTGACAAAGTGGTTCATTCCAAGCACTCGTTTGAAGCAAGGTCGTTCAATATAGATAATTCTGAAAATTCCACCGCCAAAAAAATGTTTTCCATATTCACCTGCCGCTTCCAGCTTGATGCAGTTTGTGAGAATTCTTTATCCTGGCACGAATATATTAGCATAATTTGTCTAGCAGCAGCACTGCATCTCCAGCTGTCTGGCAGGGCACTGATTCATGCCAAGAAATTTGCAACTTAATATTTTTTGCTGCGTAGGTAGGTACCGAGACGTTGCAAAATGTACTCTGCTACGTGTCTAGCAATATGGTGAAATCGTCGGGTATATGCAATACTGTCCCAACTCAAAACAATTTCCGTTGTTTCTGGGTTTTCGAAGATTTTTATGTTGAGTTGTGACAGTATTGCATGAGTCCGAAGAAATTTGTTTTCTTGTTCAGATAAATTGCTTCTCTGTTTAACACATGGTTGGATAAGAATTGCTTCCATTGAAATATGCTACATGACGTGTATCGTTTATACCAATCAATGTTGGCCTGATCGTTTATGGCAGCTGTTAGAATTAATAATTTCTATTTGACACACTGTCAAAGTTCTACTTTAATTGCACGAAACCGTTCTATTTCCGTTCTGTTACCATGCCACCACCAACAGCCGCTTGGCGTTGATTGCAGATACGGGAAAGACAAAGGTATTCGTACCTGTGGAAACATCATAAGACGCCGCAATGGCTAGGTGAGAATGGCTTAAAACTCAACTTTCCTTCGCTAGTTGTTATTCCGGGACAGGCCCATCTCCTTACCTTCTTCAAAATAAGACATTAATTGCTATCAAAAGTGACAGATCATTATTTCAGTAGTCACTAGCACAAAACAACCTGCTCGGAGCCGCCTCAAAGCTGCTTTTTGCTTCCGATGATACTGCCACTATGGGACAGGCTCTCCAAGGCCACGGCCAAACACACACACACCCTCTGTCTCTACTTTCGCTATGAATGCCTGCTTCCGACGGGTGTTTTTAACTTAAGACCAAACGAGCGGTTCTTGATGAGATACTTTGGGTGAAAAGAAGCCATACCTTGGGCGCAGTGGTAGTGGAAGATGGCAAGACGAAAGGAGGTCACACGGTGGCAGTTCTTTATGCCAAGGGATAGCGATCTCTTGCGGAGATAAGAACGAAAACTTTATCTCTTGAGTTGGGAAACTGCGTTGAAGTGCGCTCGCCTTCCGGGAGGAAATGTACACTTGAGGAAACATTACATGAGTGTTTGAGTGTTATAACACGTTTTGGATGTGTTCCGTCTTGAGGAGTATCTTTTTCCTACGAGGAATATATTATAATCGGGTGCTCAAGATTATAGCCCATCAGTGAGTGAAACATCCTGGATCCTGAATATGACATTTGGGGATGAGCATTTTATGCGGAAGTGTCGTGCGTATAATCAGAATCCATGATGATAACTATTGCATTTTGTATGAGTATAGGCGATTTCTCAATCTTTTGAAACTAGCATTTTCAGAACTTTTTTGATGTTTTCATGCACTAGGTGCAGAGCTGGTAAATATCACGGCCGCCAC